ATATATATATATATATATATATATATATATATATATATATATATATATGTGTGTGTGTATATATATATATATACATACACACACACACACACACACACATACATAAATCATGAGGGTAGAGGGGACCACCAACCTACTCCAGTGATTCCTTCTGTGCCTATGTGCTAATATTGCTGGATGAAAAGAAGCATACTGGAATCTGGGGGTATAGTTGGAGGACCACTGATTGTGTTGTGGCTGTTAATTGTGGAAGTAAGATTGTGGTGAAGAATTGTCTTGTTATTGCTCTTTGTGTATGTATCATCTTTTTATTTTAATCATGCCCTCATGATTTGACTGCAAAAACATGATTTGATTGCAAAAGGTCACTGGTTCAGTCCCTAATACCTTCAGGTAATACTGGAAAAGCATTTTTTTAAAAAAAAGAAACCTGGATTGCTGCTGCTGCTGTTGACTGCTAGGGTAAAAATTGCATTCTGGTGCAACTGTGGCATTTGACAGCTTGGTGGTGCTTGCAAGAATTGTCCCTCTTCCATATGTACTGAGGGATGCATTCTAAAAAAAACTTTACTTTAATATCTTTAACTACAAAGTAAGCAAGAGTTCTCTTTCTTTGTGTGTGTGTGTGTATGTTGTGTATGTGTGCTTTTTCCCTCTTTTTAGTAACAAAACCTTACAATCTCTTTTTAAGTGTTCAAAGCATTAATGAAGTTGTTCCCTTTTTTAAAAAAAAGAAAGGACAAAAATATTTAGCCCTTTCATCTTTAAAAATAAGAAATCAACATATTTTTTTTAGAAAATTGCCTACTTCCTATAAGTCTATAATGGTCTGATTGATCCAATGGTAGCCTTTTCTTTCATATTAAACAATGCGTGCAAACTGTGTTAAATTTATAGAGACAGAAGGCTTTAATTTTGCTGAATTAAATAGACTTAAATCTGGTTCTAGGCAAAAGCCAGATGGGCAGCCATCCAGTTGCCCCAAACAAGGAAACAAACAAAACAAAATGATCTCAGGTTCATTTAAAGTTCAAGAGAAGGTTAAAATGAGAGCTCACGAAAGTTATGTTTGCGCTTGTTACCTATAAACCTGAACACTGTGAGATATGTTCATCTCAGTTATAAGAAAAAGATGCTAAGGAAAATGATGATCAAAGAGACTGAATCAGGTCTTCTTTGCTTTGTGTGACATCTCTGGGGGACTCTTGGTTGGCTGCAGGGAGAGGATGGATAGTAGAAAGTTATGAAAACACCATGACAAATTGATGTTTTTGCCAGGGAGGAGCTATACCTTTGGCCAGGAAATTGAGAGAGACACAAATGGAATTGAGAGTGTTCAACAAGCTAGCTGAACTCCAAATTGGGCTCCACAATTATGAAAATGCTTTGGAATTTGCTACCTTGGCAGTCAGACTCAGCGTGGATGTAGGTAGGTTTATAACACAAGAATATCTAAGTGATTTTCTGAAAATTGTCAACGATTTGTGAGTAGAAAAATAGCCAACATACATCTCTTAGAAGATGGTGTCACCCAAGTCAATTTAAAATGCTCAAGTTGGCCTCAGTAAATGTTTAAAAAGGCACAAAATCTCATTACAAAGGTAAGTGGACATTTATTATACTTGACTTCATTTAGAATCAAAGAAATGGCCTTCACAGATTTTATGAATGTACAACCACTAGGAAAAAATTACCACATACATTTATCCTTCCTTCTGATGTCCCAGACAGAGATGACTCAATCAGCATTGTACAAAACATTGCTTGCTTTTAGATACAATAGTTAGTTGACAATGGTATTGCAAGCAAAAGCCTAGAAATTCTTAACTGAAAGCAAATTGAATGTGTTTCACGTTTCCTTGTCATTTTCGCTGTCTTTATTTTGTTCTGTAACTGCTCAACATGGGACAACATATTTTTTTCCTAGAGTAGAATATTTCTGTGTGAGCTTTTGAAGATGGCACGTTCAATTTCATCGCAGTGAAATTTAATCACCTACATTATCATGTTTCAAGCAAGGATTCTGTCCTTCCATTTTTTTCATTTCCGCTATGAACGATTGTGTCTATAGAAACATTGTATACACATTTTTTCAAGATTGCAGCAATGGACTGTTTAGCACCTACCACATGAAATTGTCATTTCTTCCCTATCAGATTGAATTTTTATGATATTAGGAATATCATAAAAATAACAATTGTTTGCATTGATTTTTTTGGTTGTTTCTGTAAAACTTTTCAGCATGCAGGATTGTTATCGCACATTAACTTTATGGGGAAGCAAAAGGGTAGCGGCAAGGGAACATGGTGCAGTCTTCACAAATCCTGGGAACTGGGGAGGCAACAATTGAAATGTTGCTGCTTGCGGATTGAAGTACATGGTCTTTCAGGGTTCTAGGAGGAAGGGGAGAGGTACAAATGCTCCAGCCTTTACAATCATCCAATAGTCATTTATGCCATTTTGACACTTTTCTTCTTCCAGGAGATCATTTGCAAGAATTGGTTGCCTTTCACCGGCTGGCAACTGTGTATTACCTTCTGCAAATGTATGAGATGGCTGAAGACTGCTACCTGAGGACACTCTCTTTGCACTCACCAGAATTGCAAGGGGTTCAAGAAGCCATATATTACTCCAAGGTTTACTACCGACTGGGAGATCTCACCCTCCATAAATTAAAGGTGAAAGATATCACCTGTAATGTAATAACGACCAGTAGCATTTTAGTAAAGATGCTCTGGTTTGATTTACTTCGCATTTAAAAATGAAGATATTTAGAATCTTGTGAAAATATTGAATGAGTGCAATTTTTTTGCTGCAGTGTCAGCAACTATTCCATTTTCTGGACCTTCAAGTCACCTTTGTTCAGTTAATATTTTTTCAGTTTACAAAAGGGATATATTATTTATGTCAGGCCTTTGAATGACAAATCATTCAAAGGGATATACTTTAAAGCTAGGATAAAAGCTAAATTTTACTTTATTCCATTTCAGTTAAGTTGAGCCACGGTGATCCTTTCTCACACACTCAATAATTCCTCATCTTCTTTCAATTTTTTTTTTTGTAAATTTTATTTGAGTTTTCACAAAGAGAAAAAAAATACAAATAAAACATCTTTTTTGAAAGCAGCATAATCCCGGGTTACATTTCTCCGCACAGACACAAATTCAGGTTCATGCTCATTTTTATATTCTATTCCATATCTTATTACTATTTTACATTTTCTGCATAGCTTCTCCCCTCTTTTAATTTTCTCAATTTTATTTTAATTATCTCATCTTGATTCAAATCATTGTATTTATATTTTTGTCTGTCCTGTTTCAATTATCTATTATCTTTTCCCATTAAACAAAATTTCTCCTGTAGTTACTGATTGGAGTATGACGCCTTTATATCTTTTCCCTAAAGTTGTAACATTCAACATAATACATAACTTCCATTCGGATTCTGCTTGGTACATTCTTAAAATAGACACTGTATTCTTAAAAAAAGAAAATAATTATAAATGTATATAATTAAAACAACATTCCATTCCAATTCAATTCTATCATTAATATTAATATTCATTAAAGTCTTAACATCTTTAACATTACTTTTCAATTAAATATCATACTTCTATGGGAACAATTATAAGCTTTCCATAGTTAATTCCCCTCCTCTTCACTTATATTTTATAAAACATTAACTAATTAAAATGTTCCCGTTCCTTCCTAATTCAATTTCTCATTTATTTTATTTCACTTATTTTATTCACAAACATTTCACTAAATTATACTAACTATTTTATCCCTCATTTTAATCATACATTGTTTCCAATTTTCCAAACTTATTTCTATTACTAATATAACAATATTAGTACCTTTACAGAATTCCTTTTTCAGTTAGATTTTCACCCATTATCTCTAAATAGGTCCTGTTTCTCTATATCTTGCTCTGGTCCTTTGTAACTTTTTTTCCTCTCCTTCTTCCCTCTCTTCTTCTCGCTCCCCTTTTTACCCCCTTGTCTCTCTACCTCTATTTCTCTCTTCTGTATTCCCCTTTTCTGTTGCTTTCCAATATTATACTTATTTTTTGAATTATTTTTCTTTTCTTTGGTTGTTTTTTTAAGTCTTAAATTCTCCATTCTCTTCCCCCCACTTTCCTTTTTCTTCCCCACATAGAATTACTTGTTCATTAAAGATGGCTTCTTCTTTGTCCCTGTCTTCTTGTTTTGCAGTCTTTTCTTGTTGTTTCTCATAGTTCCAAATCTCCATTTCTAAGAATTGAAAAACAAAGCCAAAGGAACCCTTCCCTTCTTGTGCATCTTCTTTGTACTTTTTAAGTTCCATTTTCAATTCATCCAGAAGTGGTGCCATTGTATAAATTTTTAAACAACCACCCGATTGATTTTAGTCATTCAAATATAATAACCAAAAATCCAAAGATCACCAAATAATCCAAATAGCTGGTATCTCAATAGCTGTTTCTTTTTTGCTCTTTTTTTTTCACTTTCTCTTCCTGGGGTTACTATTTAGTTGCAAAGTTTCAGTTAAAATGTATCTTTTAGATACTCTTCTTGTTGAAGTTTTACTTTAGATTCTTTTTAATTCCAGGCAGTCTCCTCCCTCTTCCAGATCCTGCCCTTATTATTTTTCTCTCCCTTCCTGCTTATGAAAAAGAAAGTTTTTAATGTCCAGAAATCTTTATTATCCCTTTGGCATTTTGTTTTATTTTCAGCTTAATTGCCTATTGATGTCAAAGCGGATTTTTCCGATTTCTTATTTAAGTCTCTTAGTTGTAAGTATAGGGAAGGAGAAAGAAGAAGAAAAAAAGCCAAACCTTTCCCTTTTCACTTTCCTTCGCTGCTTCCGACTCTTCTTTGGGAGCGATGTTATTTTTTGTAAGTTTAAATTCCAGGGTACCTTGTTTGTTGCTTTTACAATTTAACCTGGTCAGCCAAAACTTTCACTTCTTATCTTCCTCCTGTACATTCTTTTCCGGTCGAGTTCTTCTTTGTGGTGGCCATTTCTGACCACCGCTGCAACCGCCTTCGGGAAAGGGAGTAATGGTCAGCTGAGGAAGAGAGATGTGGCTCTCCCTGACCCCGATGGTGGTCTCCCCCCTCTTCACCACCTCTACGGGGTGGCTTAACCCCGAAACCAGCCGGCTCGGGGCGCTCCAGCGGTGAGCCCAGACAGAAAATGCGCACGATCGCGGATTTCTGTCTGTCGCCGAAGCCCTTCAAACCGGAAGTCCATCTTTTTTCAAATTAAAATAGACATTTGGTTGCACCTTGGAGTATAGCAACCGGAGCCAGAATGTAAATATCTCCAAGGAATTAGTAAATGTCAGTAAAAGTCTAGAACTCTCTGAATCTTTTTCCTACCCCTTATTATTCATCAGAGGTTTTTCAGTCCAAATTTGATACACTCTAATTTAGAAGGGTTCTGGAAGCTTCACATACTGCTTGGAAGAATGACATGTGGCCTGCGTCGCAGGCTGTCAACTGTGATTTATAATATGCCACCCTGTTGTCTTCTACTTTTGATGCTGTCCTTATTTTGTTCTGCGGTTGCCATTCCCTTTCTAAATACCCTTGCTTTGGATATGGTTTTCAATAGTTCCACCCTGCTCCTTTAGGAACTCACCGTATGTCCCTTCATACATATTATATTATTTCATGCTTATTAATTGTTCTTAACATGTATGAAATTAATGAATTGTTGATTCCAAGCAATCAAATCTGCATTCATTCATTTGCTCTGCATAAGTCATAAACTGGGAGTGTTACTTGACAGCACTCTGCCTCATTATAAACTTGGGGGGTTGGGGAATGCTTGAAGTATAGGGTTATACTAGTTTCAAGGTTTCTTTGTCATACAGATATTTTTTTGGGAGTGGGGTGAGGCATCATAACATAGAGTTGGAATAGCCATTTAAAGTTCCAATCTGTAGCAATAGCAATAGCACTTAGACTTATATACTGCTTCACAGTGCTTTCCAGCCCTCTCTAAGTGGTTTACAGAGTCAGCATATTGCCCCCAACAGTCTGGGTCCTCATTTTACTGACCTTGGAAGGATGGAAGGCTGAGTCAACCTTGAGCCTGATGAGATTCGAACTGCCAAATTGCAGTCAGCTGGCAGTCAGCAGAAGTAGGGAGTGTTGAAAGGTTCTTCTAAATTTCTTAGGCAATGGACCCTTTTTCATCCCTATCATGCTTTCAGCCTTGACTGGAAATGCTTTCCAGTGCTTTACTTTTGTTTCTTTCGTTTTATTCTCAGGATGAGCAAGATGCAGCCAGTTACTTCTTCTTGGCCTTGGCTGCTGCCACTGAGTTTGATGACTGCAGTTGGCAAGGCAAGATCCAGGCCAAGTTGGCTCAAATATTTACTGATTCCCAAACAAATAAGAGCCCAAGAGGGTGGACAGCATATCGGGCCCGATGGTTAAGTGAAGGAAGACATGATGTGTGATCCATCTGTTACGGAATTCACAACTCATGAAGAAAGGACATCATTGTCCCTCTGCCAAGAAAAGAAGATAATCATCATCTGGTGCTTCTAGTCCCTTGTGTTTCTGAATGAATAGAAATCTTGTGGGCTGTTGTAAATGGATATATGCTGGCCATCAGCTAATGTGTTCTGAGTGAAAAAGCAAGCTCATTTTTTTTTATTTTATCAGCAACATGTAAAGAAGACATCATTCACATACATGGGCCTTATTTAAAAGATTAGAGCAGGGGTTCTCAAACTTGTGTCATCATGGCAGCATCATGTGACATATAGGGACTTTATTCTCCTTTGCCAAACTGGTTGTGGGCATGGCTAGCATGTGATATATCTGGCCCGCAGGCCGCGAGTTTGACAGCCCTGGATTAGAGGGTGTAAAAGAGTCAGTTGAAGCAAGATTGAGAGACAGTTTGGTGTAGTGGTTAAGGCATCAGCTTAGAAACGGGGAGACTGTGAATTCTAGCCCTGCCTTAGGCACAAAGAAAGTTGGGCCACCTTGGGCCAGCCACTTTCATACAATAGCCAATGACTTCTGAAAAACCTCACCAAGAAAACAGCAGACTTCTCCAGGCAGTCTCTGAGAATTAATATGATTGAGCAGAAGAGGGCGGGGTAAAGCAAGATAATGAATGCACAACATAGGAGCTGAAAAGGTATGTGACTGCAGATTGTCTGTGATAAGAAGTAAATGGGGATGATCCTTGGAGAGAATATTCAACCTGCCCCCCATTCATCCTCAGTGCCAAAAGGCAAAGTCCTTTACAAGATAGAGATGAACAGAAAGCCTCTGACAGCCTGAACCAAAGAGAAAGAGTGCAAGAAAATGCTCTTGCAGCAAATGTGATTCTTTGTTCCTATGTATTTCTTTGTATCTTTGCTTAGACCAGGAAGAGGGTAGAATCCACCCAATCATGGCTCTTGTCAAAAAGCTAAGCAAAGCCAGACCTATGTTTCAGTGGAAAACATAATGAAATCCCAGGGCTATAAGCAGGCTATGGAGTAAAAAAAAAAAGCATCACAACAAATTGCTTCTATATTATTGCCAAGAAAATAATGCAAGAACATGCATAAAGTCACCAAGTGCCAAGAAGAACTAACTCAAATACTTATCAGTATTTATATTTATTTTGGTTTCTCATTAATATCTGCCTCACACTTCAAATAAACTAAATTAAAACCCCAAAAGGATGGAACCTAGGATACCATGTCCTAAGTATGGTTAAGCGAGCTCTTCAGAGGTGTCTCCTTCCTTCTTAATGGTTTGCATTGCCAACTCTCCACTGATGCTGAAGAAGAAAAGAAAATGGCTCCTGTATATTTAGAGAAGGAAAGACATGATTGGAAGCCTCTTGGGAAAGCAAAGACATCTCCATACTCAAGCCAGATGTATTGGGCTTCCATACTGCTGGAGGATGACTAAAAAAAATTCAGATTCTTTGTCTCAGTCAAATACCCTCAGGAAGAGCATGCTTACTACCCCACCATAGTTCTATCTGACATGTAGCTTATTGGATTAGTTTGAATCATTTGCTCTCTGCCCAGCCTACCTCACAGGGTTATGAAGGTTTGTTAACTACACATGAGATGATATCTACGCACGATGACTTGACTTGACCTCTTTAGAAGAAAGTCAGGAAATAAAGCCACACACTTCTTTTTGCCTGTAAACTATTGACTGTCCTCATAATCAAGAATGAAACATTTGTTTTCAAGCTGTTTTTTTTATAATAGAAATGTGCTTTTTAAAAACAAAAAAAATGAAGTTTGAAATTCTTAGGAGGTTTAATGCTGTGCTTTGAGATGCTACAGATTTACAGACCATCTTGTAGCCCCACCAAGTATATTCAGTTCAATTGAGAAGTAAAAACGAATTATCTAGGGTTTCTGCATGTGGAAATATTTTGATATGATTAGGTCTAAAAGTGGGAAGCTGAATTGAGATAGCCTCATTTTTGATGTTGTGTAGCTGTGCTTCCTTTAAAGTTAGGGTACTAATATTTTAGGGGCCAAAGAGTGTATATGTCTTCTGAATAGCATGCCAGAAGTAAGATTCATAAAAGGAATGTGACCAGGATTACATCTGATTTAATTACATTTAAAATTAAACAAATTAGCTGAAGATACAATAGTAGGATAACTCCCTAATTCCTGATTTTTTTTCCTTGAAAATTATAAACAGAATTGGAGCAATTCTGGGTCTTAAAGGCTTTGGAGAGCAGCAGATTGTTTCAATCAAATCGTTTTGCTTTATGAAGCACTCTTGAAATATCTTGCCTTGCCTCTAAGATTTTGCTCCTGAAATGAAATGTAACACAGACACAAATTAACCTTATTTTGTTTTTCAGTTTTCAAGAACATGCTAGAGGAGCTTGTCCATCCGTTTCCATTCTGGGATGAATAGATGCCTCGACCATTTAGAGCAGACCTGATTCCCCATGCAATAAATAATGGTTATGCCAGATTGTGTTTTAAATATTAAGGAAGAAACACAAACCAGTTGCAAGCTTTGTCTCTCTCTTTCCGTCTACTGGCGAAACCCCTGGGGGACTTCCCCTGACCTGCTTCATGTCTGAATGTTTGCACAAAGATATGAATCAAAGTGGTGAAGGACATGTCACAATGAAACTGGAGAGGTATTCACAAAATTAACATTGTTTGTGAAAAATCTTGGTTATACCAGCAGCCATTCTGAAAGCAGAATAATAATTATAATTTTTTTCAATTCTATACAAAGCATGGCTGCAGCCATTCACAATGACTATGTTGACAATGTTGTAGCACCCAAATGACTAAATACGACAGGGCTGAAAGTTAGATACATGTTAGTTTGTCTGAAAGACCCACCTAGCATCTTCCAGATGCTAGCACCCACCTAGCACCCACCTAGCATCTTCCAGACATGAGCTAATGATCTGACTCTGTATGACAGCTACCTATGTTTATGTATGATCCTGGGTGTGATCACTGGTTAAACAGTTTAGTATTTGCTTTTTACTTATACCATAGCTCATCTCACCATTAGAGGGCAATAAAGGCAGTATTTTCTATTCCTTTCCATCTTTATTAAGAACAAGAATCTGTTAAGAAATTGATAAAGGCTTTTAGGCAGTCTGAACTTTTAAGACTTATCTGTGGCCGGATATGCTGAGAAACATAACATTCTGTACATTTCTCTACATCCTATACAAATCAAATTTCCTAAAGTTATGCAAGGAAGCCAAGATTTGTTATCTTACACTCATTTTTTTTTAAAAAAAAAACAACAACCACTTACTGCAATAATAATAATAAAAAAAAAGATTTCTCCATTATTGTTTAAGGGAAAATTTAAAAACAATCCATGTTAGATTGGCAAACTTAAATGATATCATGGTATAGTATGACTTAAGACGGAATATATTATTGGAATAACACTTGCTCTTTGAAAAAATACTGAAGCAATCCAAAAGATATGACAGCATGCACAATCTCTTTTCACATATATATATATGTACTTAGGTCTTTCTTCTTCCTTGTATAGAAACAGATTTATTCTTTCACTTAATTTCTACCTGCTTTGAGTTGTCTGGACAATGGCTGGAACAATAGGTGGAAATAAAAGGAGAAAAATATTTTGCTTTCTTCTCTCTGAGCTGGTTGCTGCCTACCTCAGAAAGATGAGTTAAGACATTGCCTGCAGTTCTCCACAGTAATGCCAAGCCGGTCTGCCAAACTCCCAAAGCCCAAATCTTTATTTGGACATTCAAGTTTATGGTTATTTATTTTACTTCCTTGGAAGTAAAAGTGAGTTAGTGAGTGAGTTAATGTAAACAAATCAAGAGGAAAATCTATGGGGCACTTGAATATGCACCAAGAGCATTGTTTGGCCCCTTTCCTTGGTTTTAATTGCTCAAATTCTACTCTTGAGATCCCTTCTCACAGTTCTTGAATATTTCAATATGGCAGTGACAGAAGTATTTTCCTAGGGGGTTGCATTTCCAATTGCCAATATCTGGAATGAGGGCAACATTGGTCCAAATGAGCCTTTTTCTGGAAAGCTGGTAGAAAGCAGTACTTGGACTTTAAGTAGAGAAATCCAGTTTCAAGATACCACTTGACCAATCAATCTAATTGGATCTCTCTGGACCAATCACTCTGTTTCAGTGAATCCTGTGTATGCCATGTTGAACTTACAAAAAAAACCAACTATATAAATAAAATGAATTTTTCATTAGTTTCAACATGGAGGCCCATTTTGATGGCTTTAGAAATGTTACTGAGAGATTTTGCCTGAAATTAGAGATTTTTACTAAGATTCACTGCTTTCCTGACTAACCCTTTTGTACTCAGAGACACAAAAGGTGGTGGTTAGAAAAAGCAATCTTTTGAGTATTGGTTAACTTGTGTTCTTGGTGCTAAGATACAGCAAGTTCAATTCCCAACATGCTTGCTTGAAAATCCAAACCACTGAAATCTATTGGGACAGCTTTCTAGCAAGCATGCTTTAACAAATTAGAATGTTAGATTTAGGTCTGCTTAAGCACTTTTGACAGCTGGAAACTCTCGCATCTCCTGTAAAATAGGTGAACATGCATGCCAGCTGAGAAAGTGACTCAAGATCATAAGCTTCTATGTCTCTTTTAATTTAATGCATAGCCTGGGAAAATTCAATAAGGGTATTATCCTCCCATTTCAACATGTCCCATGTGGAACAATTTCTTTTTCTTCCTTGACAGATCTTAGTTGTCTTCATAGTGGGAAATGAAACCTTAGTATCCAGAGATAATTTTTATATTCAAGAGCCACCCCACTGATTTGAAAATGCTGCTAGAAAAGGTCTTCATTCAGAAGACATCCATATTGGTCTTACATGATAGATAGCTTTTAAAAAAATATTTTGATTGGGAGCTGTCCAAAGTTGATTGAAAGATATGTTACAATAAGCATGTTTTAAATAAAAAAAATAAAAAATAGGACTTTCAATTGTGTACCGTCCTCATCATTTCCCCCCTGATATTACATTTTGAAAAGCACTGTTTCCCATGGAGTAGGAGTTTATCCCCTTCCTAGTAGAGTATTTGGCATTATGATTTATTTTATGAATGACTGATGATGAAAAATTAGTTGCTGAAGTTTCTGGTAAACACCAAAATGCTGGGTCTATACAACTGAAGACTGGAAAACAGTTGAAGCCTGGAAAATCTGGTTGATCTCAGGAGCTGAAGGAAGGTAAATGGGATGTACATAATGCTGTCATCTGAAAAATAGAAGAGTTTTGCCATCTGCTGTAGATTTATCCTTTGGAAATTCTATAGTGTCAGCCTGTATTCCTCTTCTAATTACAGTTGCTTAGGAACATAAAAAACCCTATAAAATAAAAATGCTGAATGAAAGTTAACCCATTAAGGCTAGTACTACAGCTAAAAGTTATGGAGGGAAATAGTTGCTATGGTCGTGATCTTTCACTGAAATTCATAGAGTAAACATTGCTGTAGAAATGAATTGTATATTATGCTGGAGGTGCCCAACATTTGGGGTAAGCTAATAGGTACATTTGAATTTAAAAAACATAATTCAGTGCTGTGGAACATATGTGTGGCCACTCATGAAGCACCCATGTCCCAAGGCAGGGGTGGGATTCTACCAGTTCGGACCAGTTCTATAAAACCAGTTGTTATGATTCTGCGTAGTTCGAAGAACCAGCAAATGGTTCCCCTGGCTGGCCCTGCCCCTTTCTGCCCACCCTTCCCCCTCCCCTCCCAGTCAGTCCTTATCGTGCATGCGCAACATTGCGCACATGCCCGACATCACTAACTGCGTACTTTCCCCCAGTCACTCCTTAAGGTATTCCCCCCCCCCCCGACCATCAGCTGTTCCTATTCCTCGCTTACTTACTGCTTCGCCCAGGAGGCTTCCCTGAGGCCCAGGAAAGTAAAAAAAGGGAGGGGGGGACGCAGCACCCCCTCCCTTTTTTGCCTTCCTGGGCCCCAGGGAAGCTTCTTGGGAGCAAAAAAAATGCCCC